GATTATGAAGTCGAATAATTGACCTAAAAAGTAAGTTTAGTCTTTTTTCTACTTGGTAATACAGTTAGTAAAAGAAAACATTTTTTTTTGATTTTTGGATTTTTTCAGCAGTTCTTATCAGTTATTTGTGTTTTCAAACTAATAAAAGTTTAAAAAAATCGGCTGTAAATAAAAAATTGTTGAAGAAAATTTTTCAACACCATAAATAACACCTTTTCATTTTTGCCACAAAAATAAGAGAAAAAAAAGTTATTTTATTGCAGCAGTCATAATTTGTTAGTCAAGTTTAAATTTTAAACAAATACACGTCTGTGACTTAAAATGGTACTTTCTTCCAGTATATTCCACCTACAAAAGATCGATTTCATGCCAAAAAGTTTTCCTGTTTTACTTATTTCTTTTTTTGAATAGAAACAAAGTGAGTTTGAAGAACTTCGGTAAAAATTTTCACTAATGATAACCATATTGAAAGAACACGCAGAAACTACTTGTGTTACTTTAGACTTAGTGTTTTTTGATCAATCTAGTTAGGTATTGCAGAAAGAAAAGATCCTAGCTAGGACAAATACAGTTTAAACTTAAATTTGAATAAGTTTACAGGTTCACCCCATTACTGCTTACTAATACCACGATTAATTCTCACCAAAAAAAAACTATGAAAATAGCTTATGCTGTTGCAAAAAATCTTTTTCTTCTTAACGGTCACCCTATCACTCGTCTTCTAAAAAGAATTTTTATTATTGAGTTTTTATGCAGTAGTTTTTTTATGCAGTAAGTAATTACAAACTGTATACAAAAAAAAAGACAGTTCTAAAAAATATAGAAGAAATTCTTTTTTTTGTTTTGAAACTGTAATTGACTGTGACAAAAAGTGCATTTGTTAAACAAAAAAAAAATTAGATATACATAATTTAGCAAACAAACAGTTATGTTAAAAACCAAACAGTTTTTTCATCACTATTCTAATTTCTACTTTTTGATTTTTGATTTCAATTTCATATTTTACTGTGAAACAGCAAAAGTAGCAAAAACAAAAAAAAAAAAAAAAAAAAAA